TGGCGTGATCATTTACTATCTCTTTTCGAATCGCTCAGCCTATCAACGCGGCTCCGGCTACGAGTCGCTGGCGTAGGCGATTGGGAAGCGACGTACTGGACATCACCAAGAACTAGAATCAGAAACTAGCGCATGTTCCCTGTCAGATACACATGTAACTAGTTCAGTAAAGCTCCCAGGAATACCGAAACCATTTGATTGACCGAAACATCACCTCGTTAGTGGTTTGAACAAGTGCTCTTGTTGATATGTGATCTGACTCTTTTTGTAGGCCTAAATGATATCCTACGGACCATTGCTTGGAAGATGAAGAACGTGGATACAAAGGAACTGCAGTACCTCGGCTCAACGGCACGTATTTGCAATCCACATTGTCTCACCCGCAGGGAGTTTATCAGAGCATGAATGAGAGAAAAGAAGTGCCCCTGGAAATGCTGGTTATGAATGGCTCCTGGACCCCGAGGATGCGGGTGCGGGGTGCATCAATGATCGGCATGAATTCTACCGCAGACGGCTTGATAAAGGTTGAAAGGGATAAATTGCAAGCCCCTGTCTCCGGTCCGACGCGACCGGCCGTTGATTGACGTTTCCATCAAGTGCCCGGCCCGCCGAACTTCCAGATTAAGCAGCGCGGAGCGTGCTAGAGGACCGGGAGTGGTGGGGATGTCGATCTTGTCACGATCCGGGGCCGAACAAGCTTTGCCGCATCGGAAACGGAGCGAGACTCGATAGTTTTGAGGATAGGGGTATAAATATCCCGTGAACTCCCCCTAATTCATATTCAGGTTTTACTTGCTCTCACCACCCTCAGTCTCCCTAGGCACTCGCACTATCACACGGCAGATCCGTCCGCCCATCATGTTCCGCAAGACCACCCTTCTGGGCCTTGCCGTCCTCCCCTTCTCGTTCGCGCAGATTACGGAGGACTTCGAAAACGGGTGGGACGAGGCGGCATGGCCAATCTACGCCAATGATTGCAACCAGGGTGGTAGTGTGGCACTCGACACCACCACTGCCCACAGCGGTTCCAACTCAGTCAGGGTCGACGGCGCGGGTGGTTACTGTGGGCACATCTTCTTCGGCACGACTTCCGTCCCTAGCGGTGAACTTTACGTCAGGACATGGCTGTATGTTGCTCTCCTCCTTGGCAATCTCTTAACCTTTTTATCCTCCCCGTCGTGCAAGCCAATAAGTGGTAGTTTCTGACATCTCGCCTATAGAAAGGCGCAAAACGCCCTCACCGATGCCCACGTCAGTTTCATCACCATGCCAGACTCGGCTCAGGGTGCGAACAAGCACCTGCGCATCGGCGGCCAGAGCAAAATCCTGATGTACAACCGCGAGTCGGACGACGCTACACTCCCAGACTTGTCTCCCGACGGCATCGCCGCGTCGGCCGCTCTCCCTACGGGCGACTGGCAGTGCTTCGAATACCACGTCGGCGCTGACGGCTCCATCGAAACCTGGCTCAACGGCGAGGCCATTGCGGGCCTGACCAGCATCCCCGGCGAGACCAACCCCAACGCCGGCCAGTGGCAGAGGAGCAGCGTCATCCCCAAGCCGACCGGCGTCTACTTTGGTTGGGAGTCGTACGGCGGCGACACGAACACTTTCTGGTACGATGACATTGCCATCAGCGATACCCGCGTTGGCTGCGACTAGAATGTCTGTGACTAAATCAGGGGGTTCCCCGAGCGTCTTATTGTACATAAATGCATGGATACTCGCGTATCTAAAGGCCTAAAATGCAAAACATTAACCTATATATCCACGTTTTGGTACAAGTGTATGGTATTGTAACCTGAAGAGTTGGTACAATCGGTGATCGGCAACACATTGCAAATGGCATGACGCATCTTAGGTTGTCGTAGCATGCTCCTGCACCGCGGCGCCATTGACACATAAAAGAGACCCAAATCTTGAAAATTTCTCATGCCATGTAACAAAGGGGTTACCAAAATCTTGGCATTAAAATAGAAAAGAAAGCATTCCATTTTATCCCATCTTGTAAACTTGGTGCGTTGTTCCCTCGCTTGTTAAACTAGGTCAATATACTCGGCTTTCTCCATTTAAATCCTCGCGGGCCAAAGCAAAGGGTGGCTCTTCCCACACGTTTTGATAGCGCCTGGTGCTGTAAGCGATCGCTGCTCGACCTCGTTTTGAAACTCATTACTCAGGGCTCCCCGAGGCACCTAGAAGAAGTCTACTGGATTTCTGCTGAGCATCAAGCCGCAAACCAATGTGTGCGGGTCAGCGCACCCTTGTGCTAGCTCTGGCAAGAATATTGGAGTGAGGTCTTCCAGGAGAATAGGTTGATTTTGCTATAAAAAAGGGCCCGTGTCTGCGTGTTTTTGTGCTGTGAACAAATAGATTGCATTATTCGAGATCAAGGTTTAAAAGGAGTTTTTGGTGACTTCCAGAGCGCTGATAAACTGGATCATATCGAGCAGTTGACGAGAAGATCAGGAACAGGAATGACAGACAAAAATGAAAAGGCGGCTGATGTCGAACGTCGAGCAGAATTGGCCAGTTGAGGCCGACCCACAAGATTTGCATTTCCAGCATCGATGATCAATCTAGCTGGCGTAATGATCGGGCATCGAGTTGATCAGTTGAGGGCAGTTCAGTTGCAGAGCCTGAAATGGCCCCTTTTGGCTTGTTGCTTGTGCTTGTCTGGACGATGGCAGGGTTAGGGGTGACCAAGGCAGGCTGGCAGGGTTCCGATTGGGGAATGGCATTCGACCAAGTTGCCACTTGCTCTTTTCGAAAGCGCGACCTGAACTCGAGATCCAGGAACACAACCCCTCCTCCGCCCCGACGAGTGCGCAACATGCGCTGGCGCGTGCCACTTCTCTTCGCTATTATATCATAGGGAGAAAAACTGCAATATGTCCAAGATAACACCCCTCAGGTTTCAAGCGCAGGTGCAGCTACTTTTGCTCATCGCCGCTTCCTTGGTTGCGAGGGTGCTGGCGGCGACCAACGGCCACGAGCTCTCGTTGCCCTCGTACCACTATGGCGCCCCAATCCGCGTCGAGTGTATGAACCGGAGCTCGTAAGTATTCAGAGGCAAACTAAAATCTTAGCACGCCAAACTGGCGCTAACCTTCGACTGCACGCAGGGAAACGGGAGAACATATCCAAAACGCACAAAACGAGATCGAATGGATTCCCTTTCCAGTCTGCAATGAGACCAACGAGCCGCTTGAGTTTCACTACGGCATTGAGGGCGAGAAGAATTGCACCATCGCCATGGTCAGCGACCCTTTCTTCCACCTGCTCGAATTCTATATCCACAATGACGCGCCCCTCGCCTGCCGCCTGCCCGCGCGCCCGCCGCCGCATGTCGAGGTCATCGGCGAGAAGCCGCCGGAGCAGGAGTACATTCCGCTAGTCTTTGCGCTAGCGGGCACCCTGCAGCTGAGCCATATGCACATCAGCACGCACCTCAACGTGTTGCTGCACAGCACACCCAAGCAGCATATCCACCCGCACGACAGCGGCGTACTAGACAGCGGCACCGCTTATAGCACGAGCCCGCTTACCCATCTTGAGGGCAGCGCCACGCGCCGCTTCGTCATCGGGGACCCGCTTCCCCTTAGCTTCAGCGTCCGTTGGTTCCCGACCCCAGCCTTGCCCAAGGTGGCCGGCAAGGTCGAGTGGTCCGGCATGGGCGGCCACATATACGCCAGCACCATATTTTACAGCCTATTGTCATTCTGCGCCGGTGCCGTCGTCTCTGCCGCCTACTTTTTCGGCTCCGTGTTGCCGCGGCGGCTGAAGGGAAGGCGCCTGGGTGGTGCGACACCGCTTGGATACGGGTTGAACGGCGTGGGTAACGGCTGGGGCTACCAGAAACGGGCGGTCGATTAGGGGACCAGGAGCAGAAAGCACCATGTTCAATTCTGGACGTATGGAGTGTAGCACCAAGAAAGATACCATGGCGTTTGGAGTTAGGACTCGACGACGATTTGGGTTATTGCAAAGTTTTGGAATGCCAATTCTGCCTCTACGTCTACCGGTACAGACCCAGCCGGCCTCGAGTGACTCCCCTGCTGTTTTCTTCTGCGCGTCGTGAGAATGATCACTGCAACTTCTTTGAACTCAAGGCAGCCTCAGCCGCCTTGATGCGGCCAAGAATTCGACTCGCCATATCGATAGCCCCAAGGACCGCTTGTCCAAGTCAGTCAGGGATCATACCATACAGAGATCAGTGGAAAGTGACTTACGCAGGACGAACCACGGACCGTAGAGCTGGAACTGCATCTCGCGCTTGATGGCTGGCGGGTAGAGTGTCTCGTCGAGGAACGAGGTGTCGTAGATGCAGACGAGGGTAGTGAAGGCGACCTCGAGTGCGTAGGTAAACAGAAGCAGCTCGTCGCAGCCCGAGGTGCCCCGTCGCTGCACGACCAAACGGTAAAGTCCGTACAAGACCGTGGGCAGCAGGAAGAAGGCCTCAAGGTGCATGAAAAGACCCATCCAGCTGTCATGACCCGACGCCGTCTCGGCAGACCACTGCACGATCGGGTCATTGTACTTTTGGATGTACCACTCCTTCAGCTGGTAAGCCGCGTGGAGGGGCGAGCCGGCGGGCTGATAGAGGGATGCCGGCCAGATGTAGTCGAGCAGGTCCATGACTGCACACACAGGCCTGTGAGACATGGTCATGCTTTGACATGAGCGGCGGACTTACAGAGGATGATGGGGAGCTGCATAAAAAACCACCCGATCCACACCTTGTTCCTCCACGTGTCGATGTAAGTCGCCATTTTGACAGGCAGCTAGCTATTTGTGCAGTTGAATTGGAGTTGAATCGTTTGATGTTGCAAGTTCAAATGTCGCGTCTGAGTCGCGCTTTTCCTTCTTTCGAGGTTCGCACCAACCAGCAGGGGTCTCACCCACAAGCTCCTGCAAAGGGTCCGGCTGGTCCCGGCTAGCAGCTCCACAGCACCAGGAACAGTAAATTCCATATCCACCACAAAATTTGCATTCAACATCACGGCAAGGTGGCCGAGCGGTCCAAGGCGCCACGTTAAGGTATTCAAAATCCTTAATCCCGATATCCGTGGTCTCGAAAGGGGCGTGAGTTCGAATCTCACCCTTGTCAATTAAGTTTTGCCGCGTTATCATCTGCAATGGTCTGTTAGCAGCAAGAACCTGTTTTCCAAAAAAAAAAAAAAAAAAAAAAAAAAAATTTTTTTT